GTGCCGCCTCCCCCACCTCGCATCCGCACGGGCTGCGGTCAGGAACAACCTTTTTGGGAGAAAGCAGTGAAAAATGGCCTTTCAGAGCTAAAATGAATGTAATATTAAATCTTTCAGCCCGCTGGTATTAGAGGTCAGATGGACGGGAGCGTTAGAAAGTACCCACGGTTTGGCCATGGCACTTGCTCAGTGCTATGACATCATCCTAGACCAACCCCGAAATTACACCAGTGAGCCCTCCCCTTCTCGTTTTACCCTGCTCAGCGCTGGGGCTTCTCCTGCCATACCACCATTTCTTCATCCCCCCAAATCGCTTCCCATTTCTGCATGCACAAGATGCTGTGTGTGTGTGAGACCACAGCGAAAGGTTGTGAGTGGAGGGAAAAAGCAGCAGCAGTGCCAGCAGCCAAAATTTTTCTGTGTGGCTGTTGCTGCTGCTGCTGCTGTTAAAATCTCAAATAATGCTGTGGCATTCAGGTTTCTACCCAGATCCTTCCTGGGCTGACATTTGAGGGAAGCATCCGAGTCCCATCTTTTGCCAGGTGGACTTTTGGGTACCCATACCCTGAGTGTTCCCCAGGCCAGTGTCCCCTGCTCCCCTTCCCTCCCTGCTCCCCCCCAGTTAAAGAGTGACCTAGAAATGTGTGTATTAGAGGACTTCATGCAGCACACCTGACACAGGCAGGATCCCTGGTCTTCTGCAGACCCTCTGCCTTGGGATTTTTTTCCCTTTTGTGTGTGTGTTTGCACCCAATGTAGTGCCAGCACTATTGCCTGCACTGAGCAGATAAAAGTAGGACCCAGTTAGGTTGGCTGGAGGGAAGAAATGATGAATGACTCAAGTGTCATACTCCAAACATACATACAATTTCATTGATAAATTGATATGTGTGATGAATATATTCACATTCTTTTACTCCCTGTGGAAAGCTGCTGCACCTTGTGTCCTGCCTTCAGGAGCAGAGTCCATAACTCCTGTCTTCATTGAATATGTCATCCCTGGGCTACTTGGGTGGCTTGAAAGCATTGCATGGCAAGACCCCCATGGAAGCTGAGGAATGGTATGAAAGTATGGACTGTGAGGTATTCCTAGACCTCTGAGTTCTGAGGAAGACAGATAATGTCCCAAGGTCACTCCTAAATCCCATGGCAGCCTCCTGTGGGGCTGGGACTGTGTCTACCTTAATTCCTTAGTCACTTGGATTTGCTAAATCTCTGCTTCAGAGACCAAGGGATGATAAAATGGAATTAATTCTGGGTGGGAAACATGGTAGGCTTTCTGGAGAACTTCTCTTTTTGGTTTTCTGTGGAACATGCTCTGGCATGGAACATGTCTTGGCTCACTCTGTGAGGGCTTTGGGTGCACATCCCAGGTGGGCAGTACCTGCACAGCACAGTGTCTCTGGGGCA